CAGTCAGAGAGAGGAGGCTGATAGACAAGCACAGACCAGTCAGAGAGGAGGCTGATAAACAAGCACAGACCATTGCGATGGGACGGAGGACCAGGGACTGAGCTGCCATCGGCTGTGAGCTCCCGGCTAGCTGAGGATGCTAGAACCAAATACTGGCATTCCTAACTAACACCTTTCTGAGAGTGGGGTGACAGCGTTTGTTGATGGCAAACTACGGCCGATTTGCAGTCACTAGATGGCTTTCATTTCTGTATCTTACTCAGAATTCCAACCATTTTTGGCATTTAAAACTAATAGAGTTCTTAGGCTGCAGGAACAGATTGGGGTTAGGTACTGTAGTTCAAAAGCAGATTCATGACATAAGTGTCTACCATATGTTAAGAACCCTCTAGCCAAAGCAACTCATTCAGCCTGAATTATGAGGTAAAAACTCTGTACTATTCATGGACAGCATTTCCAACAGCATTAACACACACACACACACACACACACACACACACACACACACTGACATGTACACAGAAGGCTAATTACCTCATGATCATGAGTGGCCTGTCGGGCTGCATCTAAAAATATAAGAATAAAGAAAACATTAAATTTGAAAAGAAAACAGTAATAAGACCCAAGTATATGATTTTGCCAACCTCAAAACTTGCTGTGGACTTTTACAGCATATGATATTTTCACTCATGACATTAACTGTCAGTCAACTAAGGTTAAATGGAACCCACACCTAGAGACCACATAATTGGACATAAGAAAACAGCAAACAATTTTACCATGGGGGGGGGGGCGGTAGGTAGGAAACGTACGCCAAAGGTCTTAGCAGCCTAGGTGTGCAAGTGTGGAGAAGATGCTGTGGTGTGTGGCTAAGGAGTGACAGACCAGTGTGGTCTGTGCCTTTGGCAGTGTTTCCTGGAGATGGGGACTGGAGTGAGATGTACCATTTCAACAGAAAAAAAAAAAATCCCATGAAGACATGAATGTTATCCCTTATTCAGTACTGCTCCCTCAGTGCCTAGAAGACTCTAGTACTTAACAGAGAAGCCCATCAGATCTCTTTTTGAATTCACACAAATAAATTACTGAATGACGAGGCTCACGGAGGCTGAGCGGAATAGCACAGAGAAGGCTTAGAGGTACGAGGGCAGTTGGGTTACATGGTTTAGTAGACAGACTTGTTTAAAGGTAGAGAAATGCCTGATTTGGAAACCAGACAGAGGAAGGCAGGTGGCTAATAACAGTTTTAGTGCATGAGCCAGATTGTTAATCTCACATATGGAAAACCAAGCAAAATGTCTACATGAGAGTGGTGTCATTTTGGTAAAATTCTAAGGTGACACCTGTAAGTGAATACAGGATAAAAGAGAGATGACAGAAACCCGTCTTTCATGTTTGCCACTTTAACAGCTGGCTTCACAACACTCCATCACATATGACAAACTACACTTAGTTCTGATACCTTGCCTATGAGATTTGCCTTTCTGGCGGTCCTGTGTCTTCCTACTGAAAACCTTGTAGGCCTCGGTCTTCTGATACTGTTCCAGTTCTTTCATGTATCGCTCCTTATCTCTGTCTGCTTCATCAAGGTAGCGCTAGAATGGAAATGTGGGGTTATTTAAAAACAAAAAACAAAAAACAAACCTGAGTAAAGAAAACAGTACAATTAAAACATTAAAAAAATTATACAGTCAGCATGCTATAGGAAAGAATCTGAAAGTAGTTGCAGGTATAGAATAAAATCTTTCGATTATAAAATAAACAAGGACGGGAGGGGTGGCTCAGTAGGTAAGGTGCTTGCTACCAGTTCTGGCAAGTTCAGGTTGGAACCCATATGACTGAAGGAGAGAACTGGTGCCTGAAAGTTGTCCTGACCTCAGCACACATACATACACATAAAATAAATAAACAAAACACATCCTTTAGAGAACAAATGAACGAATGACAGACTCTCTAAACTGTGTCTTGCCTTCCCTAGTCTAATGAAGGTAAGTCCTCTTGAAAGCACCATCATAAAACATTCATGAAATCTCCTTAGCTTTGCAGATAGAATTTCACATGGCCACTAGGGTTCTTTAGAGGTCCGAACTCCATATAGGCACATGCTCCCAGGGGAAGGTAAGGAATATTAGCTTGTTTCCTACCTTCAACTAATTTTGAGGGAATGATCTCATACATCTATTGGCCTTTTAAAAAGCCAGACAAGTGGAACACTAAAGCTGGAGAACAAGAAGAGTGACCTCATCCTATGGCCCAGAAGAGACTACTTTAAGCGAGCTTTAGCTGTATGCTTTGATCATTTGGGGCTATTAATTATTTAAACAAGTCCATTGATCTCCAGAACTGTTTTGCTTAATGCCTTGTCCATTTCATTCATCAAATTAGGTATAAGAAAGTATAAAAGGTGTGGCCTGTCAACGAGCAAATCAGATTCAGGTTAATGTTAGAAATCAGGTTAATGTCCCCCACCCAGTGGATATAAATCTGCGACAATTTAAGCAACAAATAACTAACTACAGTAATAATTTAGAAACCACTGGAAAAAAAGAAATTTATATAATAAATAAACTTTATGATATGAATTCTTTATGATCATACCAATAATAAACAGAATGCAAGCAAATACTCAAGGAAAGGAGGAGTAAAGCTCCTGTGTAGATCAGAAAGCTGAGGGCCAGCCTGTAAGCCCAGCACTCAGAGGGCAGAGGTAGGCAGGTCTGATTTGAGGCCAGCCTGGTGTGCAAAGCAAGTTCCAGGACAGTGCGGGAAACACAGAAGAACCCTGTCTCAAAAAACAAAACACCGCCTTTAATCCCAGCACTTGGGAGGCAGAGGCAGGCGGATTTCTAAGTTCAAGGCCAGCCTGGTCTACAGAGTGAGTTCCAGGTCAGCCAGGGATACACAGAGAAACCCTGTCTCAAAAATACAAAAAAAGAAAAAAAAAACAAATCAAAACCAACAACAAAAAAACCAAAAGCCAACCAAACAAACAAAAAGAAAAAACAGAAAAACTGAGGGCGAACTGGTAACTGTGTAGGGAGTGTTAAAAGTCCAGAAATTTAGCATTCTGTGAACATAATCATAAAAATTAGATAAGGTAAAATTTATCTATGGATATTAAGCCTGGGGACACTTTTTCTTTCCCTTTCCTTCCTTTTCTTCCTCCTCTTCTTCTTCCTCTTCCTTCTCCTCTTCCCCTTCTTCTTCCTCCTCTTCTTCTTCCTCCTCCTCTCCCCCCCTTTTTTTGGAGACAGTGTCTCTCTACATCGACTTGGTGTTCTGGAACTCATATAAACTAAACTGGGCCTAGAAACCACAGAGATCTTCTTGCTTCTGCCTCCCAAACGCTAGAATAGAGGCATGTGGCACCACGTCTGGCTCTGGTTTCTCTTTAGATTATATAAGTCTCTCCTTTCTTTCCCCTGAGACAAGGTCTCACTGTATATCCTTTGCTATCCTGGAACTCACTGTGTAGATGGCCTTGAGCCTGTAAGAGAGCCAACTGCCTGAGTGCTGGGGTCAAAGACACAGTCACCATGCCCAGTACCACAGAAGTTCTTTTGATGTAAAACAAGTTACACATCTTTAAAATATCTCTCCACAGACTGCTTAGGAATTATTAGGAAAAATTTATCAAGTCAATAAAATTACAAATAGGTAATAAAAGGCCCTGGTAGACCTGCATATCTGATGCTCTAAGTAGGTATATATCACCTATTCTGACGAAGAATGTCTCACATCATCTAATCACAAGGGAACGACAGACAATCAGAAAATGAAGAATGTGTCCTTAAACGTAAAAACAAAAGACACATGGGGGTGGGGGGGCAGAAGAAGGGCCAGGCTTGGGGAAAGAGAAGGTTCTTACTCTCTAAGAATATCAAAGTATAACTTATAAAGACAAAGCAACACTAGAGACCAAAGGGCCTGAGGAAACTGCATGCACCTTACTTCATACATCTGACTGAGCACAGCTTGGTACTAGGTTAGAGCCATAGGGAGGGATGCTGTCCAGGGAGACGTCAGTTACCTCAGAGTCTGCAGGCAAAAGCGCTGCACTATGTTAACAGGAAAGAGGGAACTTGACGGCTTTATCAGTTATGTATCAGAGGATCCTTATTCTTAGGAAATACAAAAGTCTTCTGGGGATAAAGGCCAGCATATGTGTAAGTCACCTTTGAATGATTCAGAGAAAAGAATGGTGACTGTGCTAGCAGCAGAGAAACTGTTTAAAGGATTTCTGTACGTTCTTTGTACTGTTTCTGTTTGTAACTTTTTGTGCATTTGAAATTATTTCAAAATAAAAAGTTGATCAAACACATACAGAGCCCTGTGTTTGCCATCTGACAGTGGCTATCCTTAGAGAACCACTGTTACTTTTGCCATTATCAGAAAAGATAAACCATGTGTAAGCATTAACCTTGCAATGAAGATAAAAAAGGAAATAACAACCTGCTATGTCCAGCTGATGACCCCCTAGTTGTAAACTGCTCTCTATCGGCTTGCTACCACAAACACGAAGCTTCAAATTGAAAATTAATCTCATCTCTTTGAAAAAATTTGAATTCAATTAATTCTCCAGATAGTATTTTTCAATTCGGTTTCAGTCTTTCTGGAATCCATTTTAAAGAGTGTAAGTCATAAAGAGCTTAAGACATAAAAGAAATATAGATCTCTGAGACGCCGGGAAGCAGGGGCTTTAATGCAAAGCCTGGCAGCCCAGTCCCCAGCCTTCCCCTGCCTCAGCGGCCTTTTACCCAACCTTAATTCCTCTCCAAACTCTCTAACAAAGGACTTCTCCTTTCACTATGGCAACAGGGTTAGTTTCTGTCTAAGGAGGAGAGAGATCAGACGGTTCTTGCTTTATTTCCTATAGCGGTTAAATTTGCTACAACTCTACTTAAAACAATCAGTAAAGCAATACAATCTTTTTCTTAAATAACATTCTTATGTGAATTGAAGAATTTTGGCAAATGATTTTTTTCCCCTCATTTTTATTCATGACTTTCATTTAGTTCAATGGAATACATTACTTTGATAGATTTCTTAATTTCTTAATATTGAACCACTTTTCAAAACATTCTTCTGTGAACTCAGTATACATATCAAACAGAAATGGAGCCGCTCTGGTTGGGGGTAGATTCTAGAGTCCTTCGGGCTCACAACCCTTAGGACAGCTAATCTTGGGACAGTTTCTACTCACTGTGCTAGACATAGAACCACAGAGATTCTGCTGCTCTGGTCTTCCTTTCCTTCCCCATTGAATTTCTGGTGGTTCTGCTGCTCCTGGCCTCATAGAAACATCATTCCTATTTCTACCTCTCTCTTTATATGCCTCTCCACCGGGGCCTGTGTCTTCTTTCTCTCCTATGAACACCAGTCACTGGATCAGGGCCATCTGAATCAGTCTTACCTCTCCTTAGCTAGCTACACCTACAGAGATCTTGTTCTGAGACTGCAGACATAGACTTTAGGGTGCATGCTCTCCAACCCAGAACACAAAGCCAGCAGTCTGAGTTCCTCTCCACAACATGGCACTAGCTAAGTGGGTGGCGCTGGTCAACTTACTTTATTATGCCAGGCCTCAATACCTCGCTTCATACAGTCTTTTTTCACTTTCCTGTTAGTTTGTCTTTTTTTCCAGAGCTGAGGACCGAACCCAGGGCCTTGCGCCTACCACTGAGCTAAATCCCCAACTCCTTTTTGCACTTTCCATCTGCAGTATTAGACACTGAACACAGACCTGTGTAAGGCAGGCAAGGGATCCGCTATGAGCTACCACCCAAACCCCTTCTGTATTTTCCTTCAGTTTAAGACTCTAAGTTGCTTGGATTAGCCTTGAAGTCACTCTGTAGCCTAGATGGGCCTTGAACTTGTGCTCCTTCTGCCTCGGCCCTCCGATCTTCTGATCTTCTAAGCACCGAGACACAAGAAAGAATCAACTGTCCATCTTCTTTGCTTTTTTGATAGAAATCTTTAAAAAATATTTATATTATACTATGCACATGTGTGTGTATGTGTGTGTGAATATATGTCATGTCTACGGGGGTGCCTACAGAGGCCAGAAGAGGGTGTCAGATCAGCTGAAGCTATAGGCAGCTGTCAGCCACCTACCATGGGTGCTAAGAAACGAACTCAAATCCTCTGGAGGAGCAGTGAGTGCGCTTAGCCATGAGCCAGTCCCCAAATCTCTTCAGGTCCCAAATCTCCCTAGCCCCCCATACTTTCTGAGGTACAGTCAGGAGCGAGGGGACACGAGAAGCAGGGGCCGTCACCTGTTTCTCCTCAGGAGGCAGCTTGCTCCACTCATTCCCCAGCATCCTCGTGATCTCCGGAAACGGGACCTCGGGTCTCTTTGCGCGAAGCTGTTCTCTACGCTCATTCATGAACCGAACATACCCTGTAAGGGGGGATTTGGGAGCATTGCTGTCTCGAAGAGGTTTCTTCCTTTTTCTCCCTTTGGACCAACCGCCTCGTTTACTTCTTTGCTATAAAACAAAGCAAAATAAAAAACCAAAACCTAAACAAGAATCACTCAAGTAAGCCATCAGCAATAGTAACAAATACCAACATGGAAAGAGGACAGGAGCTGTGCTTTCCTGTAGGCCCTGAATAGTCAAAGCTCTCCAGACCAGTCAAATACCAGAGACTATAGCACTAAATAAAAGTTCCAGATATTTCAACTCTAGACCCTTTAAGGCAGTGGTTCTCAACCTGTGGGTCATGACCCTGGGGTGTGTATGTCAGATAACCCTTTCACAGGGGTTTCGTATCAGATTCCTGCATATCAGATATTTACATTATGATATATAACAATAGCAAAATTACAGTTATGAAGTAGCAATGAAAATAATTTTATGGTTGGGGGTCACCACAGCATGAGGAATTACACTAAAGGGTCACACAGCATTAGGAAGGTTGAGAACCAGTGCTTTAAGACATCATACTGCAAATTCGAGAAATAAAGGGCTATTAAAATTTTATTTTTGGAAACAGGGTCTCTCTAGATAGCCCAAGCTGGGTTCGAACTCATTATGTATCCTGGGGTACAAATACATGGTGATCCTACTGCCTCAGCTTCTTGAGTGCTGGGACTTCAGGCCTGAAGCCCACCCTTGTTGTCTAAAGGGTTATTTTGGTGCTAATCCCGAAAGATGAGAAGGGGCACCGTGACTGTGCAAGCTTGGGTCTTCCTCTACACTTCCTGACAAGGACGGTCTATGAGACACTCAGCTACACTGGGCCCAACCAGAGAAGGAGACGCTGTCATGTGCACCGAGTGAAGGAGTAGCCGCAGCATGGGGAGTAAGAATAATTCATGAAAGCATTCCTCACTGATACTAAAGACCAGTTAGTTTCCCATAGCAAACATCAGACAAATATTTAAATTAATATTTAGTCTCAGGAAACTATCTGCAACATATCTAAAATGAAGACAAGTTCTTTGGCTTCATGATTGTTCATTAAGATGTATATTTTATAAAGTCATAACCTTTTTCTGTTTTTTTTTGATTTTGAGATAGAAGTCTTCATATACTGGGTTTAGATAAAGCAGATCAAACCAACTTTTAATATGCTTTTAAAAACTGCAGTGTCAGCTGGCCATGGTGGTGCATGGCATTAGTTTCTAGCACTGAGCAGAGGCAGTAGGATCTGAGTTTGAGGTCACACTGGTCAAAAGAGTGAGTTCTAGGACAGCTGAGTTACATAGAGTAACCCTGTCTTGAAAAAACAAAACAAACCGAACCGAATCGAACCAAACCAAACCCCAAACCTCCAAACCAAGCCAAATCCCCAAACCAAAAAATCACCCAAGGAAAACAGAAAACTCCCTGTGGTGTCACTAATATTTTACCACAGTCTTTCTTCTTGGCCTTCTAAATGAGACACATCATATTTTTGTTAATTTAACAAATGCATAGTCTATCAGTTAATGAATCATGGATACAGGAATTTTTATTTCAGAGAAGAGAAAGGTGAACATGATTCAAAAAGGGAAAAATGCAACTATGTATTAACTGTAGTGCTGCACCAAATATATGCGAATGGTGACAGTTCTGCATTTGGTAAATAGTATGTTAGAGATTAGGTTTCCAGGTTTTTGTTTCCCTTTTTGGAAGCCTGGGAACATGAAGCTACCAAGGAGCCTAGAGCTGTGGCTCAGTGCAAATGTGCCTAGCCTGAGTCCCCAGCACTGTACACCACACAAACACCACCCCGCACC